GTGATTAACAGATATAAGAAGTTCTCACTGAATTCAGTGTTAAATAAGAGTTAACAGAGCTCTATACTCTCAATTAAAATAATATTGCGGAACAGTTCATTTAAACTGTTATCTTAAAAGCTTGTATTATAATAATGCAAGCAGATCTATCAGTCAAGCTATGAGCAGAGACTGTGTTTACAGTGATACTATACATTAATATAGCTTCAATGAGCACTTTTTTATTTTCAGATATAATTTAACTGAAGAACTGAATTCTGCTAACTCTTTATAAAGTATGAGAAGACAGACTGTTCTCACACAGAAGTGACTTACAGATAGTTGAATTATCTAGACTGACCGTGTAACCGTGTCTGAGACCAGGATCAGATTTTTTAATAGTCTTATTATCAATTTGACTGATCTCATTACACAGTTTTAACATTAGATAGTAGTCTCATACTGTTTCAGTGAAACTTACTGTCTACTCTTATCACATTTTTCAAATTAGACCATGATTTTCACTTCTCAATTTAAATTATTTTTATTGCTTTAAATGACTTTAAATCTCATTTGAGTATTACCAAAAAGCATTACTTTTTAAAAAATTAAAAATAGTCTAAAAAAAACCTTAAAATGTCTAAAAATAATAACTTTATGCCAAGAATAGAACTAAATGAGACCAAATGAGACCACTTTCTTATTTTTTTCAAGTCATGATTTCATTTTAAGATCTTATATATAGTCACTTTGCATGTTTTTTTAATGACTAGTCTCAGCAGAATTCACATCAAGAAATGTATGAGACTAGATCAAATAAGATCAAATGTGAAATTCATGATCCCGGCGGCCAGTCTAGAATCATCTGTTTACATTTTCAAAGAAGATCTCTGAAAAGATCATAATAAGTTCACTGAATACAGTGAATGAATAATTCTAATTAAATATTACAGTGAGATGATGTATGAAATATAAAACTCTGTGAAAGATGAAATCATTATATTCAGCAGTGTGAAATTCAATGAGAATATTACACTATCACAGCTAGTGAGCTCAGTACTTGATAATTACAACATAACTAATATATCTTATATACTAACTACAGATTTTCTCATCTGTAATAATCATCTTTATATTGATTTATTGCTGATCTCTGCATCTCTGCAGAAAGAGTTTCTCTCTGTATAGATATTAGTTAAGAATATCTCTCTCTTATTCACTGCTATAGTTACAGGCTGTAATGTTAGATATCTCTGAAAGAAAGTTAGTAAGATGTTATTTACAATCTCAAAAAGACATAGAAGATCTTAGACTGACCGTGTGACTGTGTCTGAAACCAGGATCAGATTTTTTAATAGTCTCATTATCAATTTGACTGATCTCATTACACAGTTTTAACATTAGTAGTAGTTTCATACTGTCTCAGTGAGACTTACTGTCTACTCTTATCACATTTTTCAAAGAAAATCATGATTTTCACTTCTCAATTTAAATTATTTTTATTGCTTTAAATGACATTAAATCTCATTTGAGTGTTATCAAAAAGCATTACTTTTTAAAAAATTAGAAATAGTTTAAAAGAAACCTTAAAATGTCTAAAAATAGTAACTTTATGCCAAGAATGAGACTAAATGAGACTAAATGAGATCACTTTCTCATTTTTTTCAAGTCATGATTTCATTTTAAGATCTGATATATAGTCACTTTGTATGTTTTTTTAATGACTAGTCCCAGCAGGATTCACGTCAAGAAATGTATGAGATCAGATTAAATAGAATCAAATATGAAATTCATGATTCTAGCAGCCAGTTCAGAAGATCTTAGAAGAATATTATAACTTTTAACTCTATTACTCTGAAGATATTCAGTATTATTAAATATCAGCTCTATTATATATTCAAGATCTATATTATATACTGAGACTCTAAGACTGTTACAGGAATTAAACTTCTATAAATATATAAGAAGATAATTACATCTCTGCAAAAAGATACTTAAACAGCTATTATAAAGAAAGAGCTTGACTCTGCAGCTGAGTATAAAATTTTTAAGATTGTAGATAAGTTAACTGTTAAAACTCAGATTCTTAATAATTACTGAGTTTATAATATTAAAACTAATCTAAATAACAGTATATTATTCTACAAGATAAGATGAGTTGTGAAGGATTTTGATCAATAAAAGAGTGTGAATTTTAATAATATTTATATCTCTGTTATCTCTGTCTCTGTTATCTATACTATACTTACAGTGACAGCAGTGAAAAGTTGAAAAGTTTATTAAGTTAATTTCATCACAGTATTTCTGAATACAGATCTGTCATCTACTAAGCAGCTCTATACAAAGTAACTCACTAAATTTGATAATAATACTGATTATATATACCTGCTTCTGCAGTCTCTCTACAGTCTCAAACAGACTCTCTACTTATAGTTCAATCTATTTATAAGTCATCTCAAGAATATTAGCTTTGAATTCTCTCATTATAATGGTAATATCTGATTTAAAAGAGATTCTCAGAAATTTCTCAGGCTCTATATAAATAATATCAAGTTAATAGATCTCAATATGAATATCATTGAATAGATGTTTCATTAAATCACTGATTAATTTATAATGAAAGATCTGATATTTGTAAATCACTACTTGAGTATAAGAATGACAGTGATATGAAGCTATTATAAGTTATCTATATTGAATTAATATTGAAGAAATTCAGAATAACTGATTTCTAAGCTGTAAGAACTCTTATAAAATCTGTCTTTAACTCACTCTCTGATTCTGAATCTTTTGATAAGTTTAAATATCAGTAACTTATGAAATTACTTTAATATCTTATTATATATACTTATTCTTAGACTGACTGTGTAACTGTGTCTGAGACTGGGACCAGATTTTTTGATAGTCTCATTACCAATTTAACTGATCTCATTACACAGTTTTAACATTAGATAGTAGTCTCATACTGTTTCAGTGAGACTTACTGTCTACTCTTATCACATTTTTCAAATGAGATCATGATTTCTACTTCTCAATTCAAATTATTTTTATTGCTTTAAATGACTTTAAATCTTATTTGAGTGTTATCAAAAAGCATTACTTTTTAAAAAATTAAAAATAGTCTAACAAAAACCTTAAAATGTCTAAAAATAGTCACTTTATGCCAAGAATGAGACTAAATGGAACTAAATGAGATCACTTTCTTATTTTTTTCAAGTCATGGTTCCATTTTAAGATCTGATATATAGTCACTTTGCATGTTTTTTTAATGACTAGTTCCAGCGGGATTCCCGCTAAGAAATGTATGAGATCAGATCAAATGAAATCAAACATGAAATTTATAATCTCAGCAGTCAGTCTACTCATTCTGATATATCTTTTATAACTGTCAAGCTCACTCATTGATTAAGCAAGTCTATATAAGCATACTAAGCTACAGTTAAACTGCTCTTTTACTACATCTACAGCACAACTAATTACTATATTTATTATATTATCAGAGTGAAAGAGCTTAACTTTAAAGTCTTTACAGATTCTGATTAAGTAGGTGATATCAGTAACTATATATTTATATCAGATCTTCTTATCTATCTCACTAACAGATTAATTATATAAAAATTTACTAAGTAAATAATTATAATACTGAGTATTATGGAAGCAGAGTACATATCTGTCTCTAAGAGTCTTAAAACTGTAATCTGACTGCACAGACTACTTGTGAAACTTGAATTTCTATTCTCTAATTTTACAGTTTCTCTATATATTAATAATAACAGAGCAATCACTTAGTAAATAATAAGAAGATTACTCACAATGTATATTATATTAATATCAAATATAATTACATCTGCAATACTGCAGCTGCAGATGTTGTTAAAATTATATAAATAAATATTATCAGCATAGCTGGAAATAGACTGACTGTGTAATCATGTCTGAGACCAGAATCAGATTTCTTGATAGTTTTATTATCAATTTAACTGATCTCATTACATAATTTTAACATTAGATAGTAGTCTTATACTGTCTCAGTAAGACTTACTGTCTACTCTTATCACATTTTTCAAATGAGATCATGATTTTCACTTCTCAATTTAAATTATTTTTATTACTTTAAATGACTTTAAATCTCATTTAAATATTATCAAAAAGTGTTACTTTTTAAAAAATTAAAAATGGTCTAAAAAGACCTTAAAATATCAAAAAATAGTAACTTTATATCAAGAATAAGACTAAATAGAATTAAATAAGATTGCTTTCTCATTTTTTTCAAGTCATGATTTCATTTTAAGATCTCATATATAGTCACTTTATATGTTTTTTTAATGACTAGTCTCAGCAGAATTTATATCAAGAAATGTATGAGATCAGATCAAATAGAATCAAATGTGAAATTCATAATCTCAGTGATCAGTCTAGCTGCAAACACTTTAATAAAAGCTCTAATAACTGAAGTATATAAAGATACTCTGATTAACATAGAAATCTAAATATTTGCAGTCAGAAAAGCTCTGAAGATATTCTGATAAATACAGAGTTTTATCAGCTTACTATCTCTATAGTAGTTCATTCATTTATTTTACTGTTTCTTTATTTTCTTATTCTTCAAATTATTGTTAGTTCTTCATGAAATCTTTGGCAGAAGACACTACTATTTTTATATATAATATTTCTTCTCTAGTTATAGAACTGCTCTGCTGAGTTGCAAACATCTACTCAGTGAAGCAGCAGTTAAAAGAGGTGTCAGATTTCCTCTACAGACTGACTGCTTTCATCTAAGCAAGGTGTTCACTGATTGCTTAGTAAATATCTATCACATATAAAAGACTGCACAATAAATAGATCTTGATAATACAATCAATTACTACATTATATCATCTTCATCAAAAATCAATTTAAAATTAATTTAATACTGAAATTATTCTTGAATTTAATAATAAAGTAAGTTTTTATATAATTTAAAGATACGAGACAAGGCAATCCAGGCATTCACACCTTCAAATACATCTTTACCTCGATGATCATACTCCTTCCGCACGTGCGCTATGAGCGATGGCCGCTGCGTGGCAACCTGGTAGATAAGGCCACGAAGAATAGCTGTGGCGTTGTTGGTACGTGAGTCGGTGGCCTGGCAAAAGAAGAAGGACAAAAGACTTGTTTTAGTGATAGACTTCTTCAGCTCGTCAATAATACCGCAAAGTAGCATTGTTTTACCCTTGCCGGGATCGCCTTTGATCCAGAGAAGCTGACTCTCCTGATTGTCACGCCATTGCTGGAAGTCAGGATTCTTGAGGATCCAGATGTATGAGTCTTTCAGCAGGCCACCCTTACTCTGCTGTATACGCGTCTTGTCATCATTAAGGTCGGTCGCCCATAAGTCCTTAAGGCACTGGCGATCCTTCTCATTCATAGCATATGGTGAACTTGGGATTCTTAGCCAAGTTCTGTAGACTACATTGGACAGAAAACCAAATACCTGATATCCGATGCCCACCTGATCAGCTCGCCACACAGCCTCACGAATCCAGTATCATTGGCGGAATTGAACTTGACCATATCACTATGGTTGGCGTGGATGCTGATCGAAATATAGCCTTCAAGAGTAGCTGACTCCTTGGAAACAACTTTTCCAACCCCAGGCAGTGGCAACTCTTCAAAGAAACACGTGACCTCGAGACACCTGCCACCCTCTCGTAGTTCTCGGATCATTGACCAGAAGTCAACCTGGATGGCTTCAAGAAGCTGATTATCTGTTTCCAAGACTTTCAACAGTGACTTGTTGCTGGATTTCAAAAGGCCGAGAGCCCCAGCCGGAATCTTTGACCAATCTGCTATCCAGGATCCCTTATGAGGGGTACCCATGAAGACAATGCCTTTAGTGCAATCAAATATACCCCGGAGGTGAGCTTCTGGGTTATTTCGTGAGAACAGAATGGCCTTTTTGCATACAAGACCACCCAAGCTGTGGGCGACAAAAATAAGGGCACGAGATGGCGCATTGCGACGTTTTCCGGTCAGATCATGGAGGAGGTTTGTGGCATGATCAGTCAATCGATTTGACCCAGCAACTGGCTTTCGCACTATGTATGCGTCGTAGCCATAAGTGAGTATCCTGGCCCTGCTAAGCTCTGCTGGAAGGAGCGCCTTTGGCCAAGGTGTGGATTGCCCACGGGCGGTCCAGGTGCTATCTCGATTCCCAGTCAGGCCATGGACGAAGCAGATATCGACTATGGCGTCAGAGCACTCATGCAACACTTTGACTCCGTCCGGAAAGGAAATGGGAGCAGGAGAGCTCCCGGATGGATAATTAAAGTAATCTGCTGGATTTGTTCCCGGCGTATTGGAGGAGGTCAGAGCCTTGAAGAACTTTTTGAGATCCCGCATCATTCAAAGATTGCGTAAGCGGAAAGGTTCTAAAGGGTGAATGTTAAATTACTGATAAGATTCGCATGCTGGGGCAGGCCACCTGGTAATGAAAGTTGACTTCCGTAGTGAGAGTGGCCTCAAGAGAATACAAGTGGGGGGGGGTCAGCTGAATGGAGACCAGCCAATTGTCGTGCTGAGCTGCCAAGCAAAAGGATTCAGTCAGGCTGAGCCATGTAAGTTGTCAAAACGTAGAGCCCACAACCCCAATGTTCCATTTCTGCCCAGCCAGGGGCAAATAACAGAATTGTCAAGCTGACAAAATGGTCTTTCTTGCTGTTTTTCTGATGGCAACTGTCAACACATATACTCGCGGTTTTGATGGGTCAATGCTTGGACGCTGGAAGCACGGTGGCCTATACTGCTGGCTGTTCCTCACTGGTGCTAACATTTATTTCGACCATTGTCTGTGCTAAATGTATGCGGCGACTCGGCCCTGACGACACGAAAACTAGCCTTATTCTGTTTGTCGATATGATATTCGGCGCCATATGCTGCATGGTCCTGGTATCTTTGATATCTATTTTTGCTTATAAGAGGGAGCAGAACGCTTTGCTTTTCCGTTGGCCTTGGGGGCATCTGATATTAATCGGCTGGATTCTGTTGGCGACCATCATATTGACCTGTGCCACCATTCGGGAAACCCGTGGCCTACGTTCACTTCACGGTCCTAACTCTAAAGGCAACTTTACAGGACTGTTCCGTGGATGGATAAGTTTATGGGCGCTTTCTGCAGGTTGCCAGGTCACGTTCTATGCATTACTGCTCTGCCTCAACCGCCCTGTGCGGCAGGAGCAAACTGGCACTTTCTCAATATCCTGTTCCGGCTTGGATCAACGTTCGCCGTCTGCCCTCGAGAACCTTCGTTTGCAAAAAGCCGTACATTTTCATGGCAAAGAGTCCGGGAGCACCAGGGATGTGGACTCTACGCATAGCTCGAACGAACGACACGACCCTTTTGAACAGTGGGAGGTTGATTGCAAGATCCCGGAAACACTGAGCTCGCTCCAGGGGCCGATGTCACACCCATCCAAGGTCCGTTCTCCCGCATCGGAGAACCATATTCTATTCTGGCCTGATACTCCACCTCCTATAACCCCGCCGACGCTGGGGGTTTCAGCTGCAGCACCACAGACGACAGGTCGGATCATCAGTATGCAAACGCTGCCTCGGATCAGAGATAACGGTTCCACATGTTTGAGTAGGCCGCTTTCTCGCTCTAGGTTTCCTTTGGAGAATAACATTATTCGGGGACAGGATGAAAAGGACGCTGAGAACGAAAGGGATGTACATGAATCATTTTCTGGACAGTCGATACCGCCTTTTGTATTGCAAGCAGGTCTTCGAAGAAGTTTACTTGATTACGAGAATCGGACTACGGTGAGTGAGCATTTCACCACGAACTTGAATGCTTTGTACCACCACAACAGTTTAATATTTGAATGTTATACGTTTACGTTATCTCCAAGTAGACGGGACATCAGATATACCACATGTGCTACACACCGCATTTCATTAAGCAGAAAAGTAACATCCTGCCGATTGTTTGCTGCATTCATCCTGTCTAATTTTGGGCGACGGGGACCCTATTGGATCTGGAAATATTGCCTACAGAAGAGAATCTGTGTGGAGAGAGCATTATTCTTTAACTCCGGTCAAGTAGTCCTAAATACAAGAAATCGCCAGTGCAATGGCAGCCTGCGCCGCCTCCTTCAGCATATCCATACTACTCATTTGAATCATTTCCCGTGTTCATCAGTCCGTACAAGAAAAAGCGTCCGTGCTAATAACTATTTTGAAGAAGATTGCTGTGCCGGATTGTTTTCATCACCCGCACCCCCAGTATTCCTCTCAGGCCCTCCCTCTTCTACCACGAGACCCGCTTTCTGCAAGTTGTCTGCAAATCCGCCCAGCTTTCCGGCACGAGAAGGAAAGAACTTAAAGGAACCGTCAAGGTGGAAATGGGCACTGCCGACACGAGTCCCTGTGGCGGTTAAGAGCGCTACCGTAATGACATCCTTTGAGTCATTTCTGTCTTTACTCGACCTGTGTGCCCGCGCACCCCTGCAAGTCCCTCAGCTAAATCCACTATTTTGAGGTTGGCACACTGAGACACATCATGAAAACAAAAAAAAAGAGAGGGAAAAAAAAAAGGGAGGCACCCTACTGAATGTGAGCTTGTTTTATCCGAGGATCCTATAAAATTATTAGCTATCACTAGCGAAAAGCGGCAGGGCACACTTACAGCTTTTTCTATCATGTTGCATCCACTGTCCACTGAGTCTGACCACTCAGCCCCATCTGCATTCGTCGAAATAACATCTCCGAGGTTGACAGAACCACTATATTGAAGTACTCTCTGCGCCGTAGCATGGAGTCCCCTTGCGGCGACGCGGTTCATCTTCGCGGGTGGATTGCTTCTCAAAAAACCGGAGCTTTGTAAATGGAGATGACTCTCAGTACATATATATATCAGAGATATATCACGGAAAATTGTGGTTTATTCAGTTTTGACGAGAAAGAATTTAGCGCAGCGGAGTGTTGGTTGCTTATATAGGCGTGCTTGTGTTCACAGATCCTCTACCCAAAAGATTTCAGGTCATGCCGTAGGCAGCCATTCCATTCTCCAGTAAGCGTATTCAACGGTAAGCGCCGCCCTTTAAATTGTTTCCACCACTGCCAAGCTTGCATGAATTGGCGACAGCGTTTTGGAGAAGAGATTCTATCCCCGACTAGCTACAAGGCAATTTTAGCGTCATTTTTCTGCCAAATTGTCAACTGGTTGGCTTCCACCTTCGGTCATCAATTGGTCAAATCTGGGCGGTAGAATAGGGCGCCTAAATGGTGCTGAGCTCTGGCTAAAACGGCTTGGCAGAAGTTACTATTTCTAGCTTCGTCTCATCAGGAACCCCCTAACAGAAAGAAGAACAACAAAACTTTCAGTCCTTCAAAGGTACGACTGGCAGGTGATTTAGAATCTTGTTTTTGACATGACTGCTAAATTGTCTCTTGCTTATCTTTATGTGCGGTCCGCATTCTCCAGAAGCCGACCTTGTCTGTCTTTACGTTCTGCCGTACCGCACTATTCGCAACGATTTAATGGAGCTCAGAGAATGACGTTCTCCCAACTAATGTCTCCCCTCACATTTCCAAGCTCCGGGTTTGACTTGACTGATGCCTCTGAAAATATTGAGGAAGAAACCCTTCCGACGTATAAGGCAGAAAAGTATTACCCGGCTCGAATAGGCGAAATTTTCAACGACAGGTATCAAATTGTTGGGAAACTAGGATACGGAGTGACATCGACTGTATGGCTCTGTCGTGATCTACAGTGCGTACATTTATTTATCATGTTGTTACAGTCCAGAATAAGTCTAATAGCTAACTTCACTTTCGCTAACTAGTGAGCCTCGACATGTCGTACTGAAGCTTTGTGTTTCCTCCTCCAAGCCGAACCATGAGATTAGAATCTACAGTCATCTCAATTCCGTTCAATCTCAATCTGGCCATCCCGGCAAAAATCTCTTTCGACAACTATACGACTCATTCGAAGTGATTGGCCCAGATGGCACTCACATGTGCCTTGTTCAACAACCATTGGGATTGAGTTTGGAACAGATGCTCGACCTTCGGCCTACCGGGACTCTGGCTATACAACTTTTAAAACCTCCGTTACGACAAATCCTGGGGGGGCTTGACTTCCTACATTCAGCCAACATTGTGCATACAGATCTCCAATCCAGAAACATGCTCCTTGAGATTGACGATCCTAATGTGTTCTCGGTATTCGAAGAGGCTGAGTTGAAACACCCCGCGCCGAGAAAGGTCCTCGGCGATCGCGTCATTTACAAGAGCCGGCGGATTCCCCGCACACGGTGCCTTCCTATTATAACAGATTTTGGCGAGGCCAGGTTCGGTGATGAAGATCACAGAGGACAAGATATTATGCCAGATGTCTACAGGGCACCAGAGGTTATTCTCAAGATGAATTGGGACAATAAAGTTGATATTTGGAGCATTGCTATGGTGGTCAGTGACAATTACCTTTTGTTATATTTTGACGGGCTTAGTTGACGTGTCTTCAATTATTATTTGGTCAGTTTTGGGACCTCGTAGCTGGGCGTACCCTCTTCCAAGCCAGGAATGATCAGCGACTTCTGGACGATACACTCCACCTTGCAGAGATGGTTGCTATCATGGGACCTCCTCCTAGGGAGTTCCTGGAACGAAGTGAGATGAGTTCTATATGGTGGGATAAGAACGGTATGTGAATACATGTTCAAATCTACGGAGTGGCGGACCTTGTATTTTCTGCTAACGTTGACAAAACATTCAAGGTCAATGGAGAGGTTTTGCACCCATCCCTGACATCTCCCTTGAAAGGCTTGCAGACGATCTCGAGGGAGATAACAAAAAGGGACTTCTGGAGTTTCTTCAAAGGATTCTATGCTGGATGCCTGAGGAAAGGCCGACTGCGGAAGAGCTGGTATTTGACCCCTGGTTGATGGAGGGGCTTAATTTAAGGAAAACTACCTAGCGCAAGAAAACTCTCTTTTCGGGCAGAAGTCGGATCTCATCCTCAAAAATGAGAAAGCCTGATTTCTCAGCTGTTCAATCTACAATCAGGTGATGATGACAATATAACTTCTTCTCACCTCTAACAACTGGCAGATGTGAGCCATCTCTTATGTACTCACAAAGCAGTGTGTCAGCTACTTTTGTTTCTTTCAGCCCATATGTCTTCTTTGTTCAGCATGACTGCCTATGTATGAAGTATGGTAGCAATTCTGAGATAAATTTAAAAGAGTTCTAATTTGTTCCCCTATCCACAGATTGATGAAAACAGGCAAATGCCCGGTCCCTGTTACAAAACTACGATTGGAATCTAGTGCTGTAGACAAAGCATTGCTACCTAATAACTCTTTATATAGCCAGTGAAATCTCGACAACATGGTCCACAGGTCTCTGGGTCAGGAAAGAGACACCCTGGGCAGAACCTGTGCCGCACAGGCGGGTTTTCCACTCTGAAGGATGGTATAGCATATTGGACATTGACACCGATGCTCCAGCTCGCTGACCTCAGCCTCAAGCTTGCAGATCTCCTTGTTTTTCCCAATCAGCTCTGCACAGTGCTTGATTTCTAGCTCGGTGTTCCACTTCTTCAGGCGCTGCACTTCTTGTAGGTCCCTGATCTTCGCGGACCCTGCTTCAAATACGGTGTGAATTTTTTTGTTTTGCTGTCGCCTATCCTAATATCAGCAAATGGCAAGTCCGGCTCTGATGGGAGCTTGCCAGAACTGCATTCAAGTTGGGTATTTTGCGTTTCAGCGGCTGTGATTTTGTGGATGCGGAGGAATTGAGGATCGCCGGGCCATCAAACAGAACCTCATAATCTTGGAGGCTATTGTCCATAAGGCGTCTCTTTCTCCGTAGCTCTCGCGGCGGGGATCGAGGTTCGTCCGTCTCTGCATCTGTATTGTTGTTAATGACAATGGTGCTGCGGGGTTCAGCTTCGGTAGAAGCCGTGGCTCTGAACGCGCTCGTTAATGTTGGGCGACCTTGGGCCGTGCAAACAGGCCCCTTCGGTGAGTTTCTTGCGGTGGTGGATGGAGAATGGAAATGGAAGTTAAAGAAAGATGGAGTCGGGGGAGGAGGAAAAGGTGGGGGGGGGGGGGGGGGGGGGAAAACCTATTTATTTTACACGAATCTAAAAGAATTTCTCGTTGTTCACCCATTAATAATGCACGGGCTGCATCTAATTCCCAAATGCTCGTCCACAATAATAAGTTAAAGAGGGACGCTGGCGTTATTGCTTAAATATTGAAAATAGTTTGGAACTGAATCCCCTCCCCATAAAATAGAAGACAGTGCAATGAGGAGTATCTTCTTTCTTTCCTACACTCCGGTAGGTATTCTCCGCGTTAAAGTAGTTGTATCGATCCACCTCAAATGAGCACAAATAAAGGGCGCGTGTTGTAGGGGTGTCGGTGAGTTTTGTTCTAATATATAATAGAATTAGTCTCGA